CGCGGTCCCGCGTCGGAGGAGCCCAACGTCCGTGACGTGAAGCTGGTGGAGGACGTCGCCGACGTCCACTCCCTTCTGAAGCTGGGCTGCTCGAAGAAGACGCTCAAGAAGATGGCGAGGTGCTACGGCGTCGTGCGGTACGAGACCCTGCGGACGCGCATGAAGGGCGCCTTCGGAGCCATCCTCGAAAAAAAAATGATATGATCGGCGCGGTGAGCTGCGCGATGGGCGTGGGGACCTGGCTCGAGAAGCTGGATGCTGCTGCAGCGGAGTGCCGTGAGGCGAGGGCCTCAGCCGACGCGGGGGGCTCTGCGTGCGCCCGAGGAGGGCAAGAAGGGCTCGCTCGAGGCGCGCGACAAGGTGGCTGCGCACTTGGGCAAACAGCGGGCCTTCAAGGAGGAGGCGGGCAGCGCCGCCGCCGTGCGCGACGCCAATCGCAAGATGGGCGACTGCACCGACCAGTTCTTCTCGGACTCCCAGTTCTCGATGAACATGTACTACAAGTGCCAGGCCAACAAGACCTGGGATCACCCCGGGGGCTGCAAGGCCGGCATCCGCGCGGGTCGCTGGGCGCAGCTCCTGACCCTGGCGGAGGAGGCGGCAAGCCGCAGCGGTCAGCGCTGGTACTGCCACGGCGGGGCCCGCTACCAGACGTCCTGCGGCGTGCGCGTCGAGATGGTCGACCGCGAAGCCCAGCCGCCGCGGGCGTGGCACCTGCAGGCGGATTTCCCCCAGGAGGACATCCAGGACCTGAAGGCCCTCCTGCGCGCGGACAGGCTCGAGAAGGAGAGCGTCGTAGAGTTCAGCCCCGCGGACCTCCTGAAGTGCCCGCCCAAGGCGGGGCCCCTGGCGCTCGGTGCGGTGTTCAAGCAGTGCGCGCCCAGGGGGCCGCAGTGGGAGGGGCGCTGGATGCTGGCGGACGACCTCGCGTGGGCCGACCTGCCCGTGTTCAACTGGTGCGACCTCTACGCGCAGGTGGCGCGGGGGCTGAACGACCCCGAGTGGGCGGGCTACAACAAGAAGACCAATGACAGGCTCAAGTGCGAGGACTACGAGCAGCGCCACAACCTGGCCGTCGGCAGCCTTGTTGGCGGGGGGAGCGCTGGGGCCGCCCCGGGTGCTCCTTCCGCTGGCGGGCCGAGGGCGGACCTGGTGATGGCTGCTGCGGTGGTCGATGGCGCCGGCGCGAGTGAGGAGCGCCCGCCGCCTCCGCCCGCACCTGCGGCGCTGACCAACGTGGAGGTGCCGCCGCCGCCGCCTGTGGGCCCCCCGCCGGACATCGAGTCCATGCTGTACGGCCCCGCGGTGGAGGGCAGCGAGTGGGGCGGGGAGGTCCGTGCGCTCCCATCCCAGGTCCTCCCAGGCAAGACCGAATGGCTCCCTGTGTGAGTGAGTAGCTGCCCGCCTGCTTAGGCTCTGCGCACCGCCTCGGCGCCGCGTCAACTTTAC